TGGCTGCCAGCCGCTCACGGTGGCTTACAGGAGCCCACTGCAGCCCCACTGCAGTCCCACTGCAGCCTACGCCGTTGCTGGTGACTCATGGCCGCCCAGCTCCAGGTCGAGCTGTTGTTCACCATCTTAGCTGTAGAGGGCAGTGTCATTGGCCCTAATGTGGAATCTGAACCGGAGCCCTGCTGCTCAGAGCTGGTGTCCCAATCCAACTCTTAACCAACGCGCCTCTTGGCCGGCCCCTCCTCTTCCTTCTTCATCTCCAACCACATCACTTTCTCCATCATGATCTTCTACCTCATTGAAGCCAAGTCTATAACGTCATGAATATCTTCCTGATAATTTACTACATACTTGAGACTCCAGTTCTTCATTAACTTTCTTGTCTTCTTCCCCTAAATCTCCTGCCTTCCAATTGCTAGATCCAAGATTGTTATCTAGGAAGCTGAACACTTCACCCCTGTGTGGAAGGGACCCTCTGGCAGCACTCATCCTTTCAGGGACCTCTACCAGGATTGTTAAACCAGTCACCATTCTCATCCTGAAATCAGCCACCAGCCCAAGCAGCACCACTCCAGAATGCCTTATGAAAGGTCTTAAAATGGAATTATAAGAGTAAAGATATATAACTTCATGCAATGTATAATCCTTGATTGGATTCTAGATTTTAAAAAAGCTCTAAAAGACACTTTTGAAAAATTGAATATATTTAAATATGGACTAGATATTAATAAATACATTTCTTGAGTGTGAGAATTATATTGTTATGTAGAATATCCTTGTTTTTAGCACAATACAGACTGAAATATTTATATAGAGGTGAAGTTTCACGATGTCTGCAACTAACTTTCAAAAGATTCAACAACAAATAATGTGTATTTATGTGTATACAGAGATATTAGGAAAACATAGCAAAATATTTATATTCCAGAGGTGAAGAGTATTCTTGCAACTTTTTATAGGTTTGAAAATTTCCAAATAAAATGATAGGAAAGCTAACTTAATCTGGGTGGTGATTACAGGGGCATTAACATACGTTAAAAAAATCATTGAGCTGTACATTTAAGATTTGTGCGTTTTTTATATTTTACTTTAAAAATAAGTTAGAGAAAAATACTTAAATGGCTATCTATTAGTTAAAGTAGGAACTCTTTGGTCTGGTTTGGTTTTGAAGAAACTCATTCTCCTGGTCCTCTGATCTACCTCCATGAAAGCACAGTGCCTAACACACTGTAGGCTCTGTCTGGCTCAGTAGATACCTGTTGAATTCTGAAGTTCAGCCACAAATTATTCCATTTTATCTCAACTCATCTCTTCCCTTCCCTGAACCACCTTCCCACTCTAAAAGATCTTTGCTCTCAACTTCGGAGCACTTAAAATGTTTTCATTAATTCTACAGTGGGTTCTGTGAAAGGGATTAATCTAAACTTTCTCAACTCTTATCTAAATCTTCTATTTAGTCCTGACCACGAACCTGAGTCTGGTAAGAAACTGGGGCTCATGGAGATTACCCAAGGTCACACTCTTAGAATGCAGTGAGTCCAGGATTAGAATTTAAGGTTTACTCCGGGCCAGGTAGTTTAAACAGTTTTGTTTTACTTCTGTCCCCAACAGTCTAACCACAGGTTAAATGTTGAAATTGTGCTTATTGAGAACTGCATTACTTTATTACAGAAAAATACTGTTATTTTACTACAACTTCCCCAGACTGTGAACAACTGGAGACAGTGATTGGTAGTGGGGAGGCACTCACTAAAAAATGATTTGGGGGGCTGGCCGACTGGCTCAGTTGGTAAGAGCACTAGCTCTAAACAGCCCGGGCTGCCTCTCCGATTCCCACACGTGCTAGTAAGCTGCTCCCTCTATAGCTAAGTTTGTGAATAGTTCGACCAGGAGCTGGGCTGCAGTGAGAGCTGCCGTCAGCTGCCGTCCAATGGCCAGCAACCGACTGCCTCAGCCAGGAAGAGCGCAATGATCATAATACCAACATGGGCCAGTGAAGCGGTGTTCTCCACAACTAGACTGCAGAACAAAAGGACAACTTGTCTGTTCCCCTTCCCCGATTTCCCAATGCTGTTCCCTTCCCCCAATTCCCCAATAAAAATCTTAAAAAAAAAAAAAGTTTTGTTGAAGGTAGGAACACACGAATCCAGCCCCTAAGGGGCGCTATGCTCACCCAAGGAGCAGTGTGATCGGCATGGCTAAGTCTAAATCGTTGGGGGTGGACTTGGTTCTGGGAAACACAGAGACACTCAGGCGGAGGCCCCGCCCAATCCAGGGCGTCTGCGCATGCGCCAGCCGGCCCCGCCCCATCCCTATGCGGGTCCTGCTTCTGTTCAGGTAGGGGGCGGTGTGTGGGAGAGGGGCGTCTCCTGAGGGCGGGACGGAAGGGGGAGTCTCAGGTCCTGGGGCTCCTTTGCTGGAGCCCTAATAGAGGTTGCCTCAACTTTCGATACAACCCAGATCTATTCCTGCGGCTGCCCCTTCCGGGGTGGGGGAGCAATTCTTGGGTCTGGGGGCTGCCGAGGCACTGCAGGTGACCAGCACACGCCTGCTCCTTTATGTCGCATCCGTTCTGTCTCTGTACCTCTTCAGCTCCTGCACCCAGCCCCGGATCCCTTCCCAGCCCTACTCTGGTGTCCTGGGTAGCTTGAGGACACGGAGCTGGGCAGATGCCGAGAGCCCGCCGCCTCTCTCCCTCCTACCCATTCTCGCCGCCTGGCCCCACCCCGTCAGGCTGAGCCACTAGGCGCCCGAAGCGGGGCCTCCGGCAACTACGTGTGGTCTTATGCTCGGCTTGCGCCTGTCTTCTGCTCCAGTTGCTTTCCCAGCCGAGCAGAAAAGCCGGGGCGGCGGCGGCATGTTGCCCGGGCCCTGGGAAGCTGGGCTGTTAGGCACTGCCGCCTGAAGTCTGTGGGTGCGCCTACCCGCTCACAGGCAGTCCAGTCACCCACCCGACAGGCCCCAGCCAGCCCGACGGAAGCCCGCACTGACATTACAGGGTAAAGGGGACCAGAGGCTGCTCAGCGATCCTACTACGACCCCAGCCCCTAATAGGGTTTTGGATGTAACACTGAATTGGGAAGTTCTTATTGGCTTACAACTCTGCAACTATCAATAAAAAGTTACAGGAAGTTACAGGGCTTGAGGTTAGCTCTAGAAGACTTGGAAGTGGGGTTGTTGGGGGTATGTGCCTGATCGAATGTATGTGTTTAGAAACCTAGCACCTGGTGCAGTGCCTGGCAACAGTAAAACCCTCAATAAACTTTTGTTGAATGAATGAAAAGGTAGTGACTGTGGGAGCAGAGATAGAGAGGGCTACTCTACTCATCCCACCCCTGCCTCCCCTGGGCTCAAGCAGACAAAAGTAATTAGGTTGAGCCTTTAATCACAGCTGATTTCACAGGTGAACAAGGAAGAGCAGGGAAAGGCAGAAATCCTGGGAACACAGGGTGCTGGCCTGGCTCACAGGCACTGCCTCTCTTTGGGACCCCCTCCCGCCCCCACAGCTTGGCTGTCAATAATCTGTTTTCTTGTCTCCCTCAGGACACTGGGTTCATGAGCCGCCCCAGGCTTAATGATTGTCCAGAAAGGGGCTATAAAGGGAGCCTGGGAGGCTGGGTGGAGGAGGGAGCAGGAAAAGCCTAACTCAGCAGATCGGGGGCACTGAGAGAGCCACAAGCAGGAGCTGTGGTCAGAGGCTCGGTGTCCTGGCCAGTAGGGCCTGCTGGCTTCCACCATGGCAGCCCGAGGCTACGGCTATTATCGCATTATGATCTTTTCGGCCATGTTCGGAGGCTACAGCCTGTACTACTTCAACCGCAAGACCTTCTCCTTTGTCATGCCATCGCTGGTGGAGGAGATCCCTTTGGACAAGGATGACTTGGGTGAGCCCTGGAAGAACAGGGTGGTGGACACAGGACCAGCAGGATGAGTGTTTGTGGCAGTGTGATGTGTACAGGCATGTATTGTGTGTGGAGTGTTTGCACAGCAAAGGCTCGGGGACAGCCGCCATGTACCAGATGAAGAGGCTCTGAGATCTGTGTACATGGATGTGGGCAAAGGACTCTGAGTACGATACATGCGTGTCTGCTTATCTAATGTGTCTGTGATGCACATGTGCCCCCAGCACACTGTTTATGATGAGTATGTTTGGGGTTCTGAATACACACATCTGTGTGGGTGCATGCTAACTAAGATCACAGGGTGCATGCTGGCCACTGACACTGTGAGCACTGGGAACTGAGGACTTGGCACAATGACTTCATGTGGTCTAGCAGGTTACCTTTCAGGAGGAATAGGGTCCCTGCCTCCAATTCTAAGCCCTTCGCCCCTTGTTCAAAGGTGGGGCAACAGAACTGCCAGAGGCCCTGGGTTGGCATCCACTGTGAGGGAGGAATCAGGCATATGTAAATCCCAGGGAAGGGAGCTGTTCTATTCTGCCTCCTTCCTGGCCCCTGACAGCTGTAGCTGGAACTCTCCAAGAGGCTGAAAAGTCATGGGTCAGCCTGGGGCTACTGCTGATGGTGAGGCAAGAGGAGTAGCGGGGCTCCATGAACAAGTGTCTGGATTCCAGCATAGGCTCTTCCTATTCCATTTGGAAGGAGCTGTTTCATCTTGCTGGGCACCTCTATCCACCTGACCCCATGCTTCTTTCACCCTCTCCTGTGCTTTTGTCCTGGCCTCTAACCCCCCAGGTGTCCTGTTCCCTGCTCCTTTCTCCTGCAGGGCTCATCACCAGCAGCCAGTCAGCAGCCTATGCCATCAGCAAGTTTGTGAGTGGGGTGCTGTCTGACCAGATGAGCGCTCGTTGGCTCTTCTCTTCTGGGCTGCTCCTGGTTGGCCTGATCAACATAGTCTTTTCTTGGAGCTTCACAGTGCCTGTCTTTACTGCTCTCTGGTTCCTCAATGGCCTTGCACAGGGGCTGGGATGGCCCCCATGTGGGAAGGTCCTGCGGAAGGTGAGTGTCTGCTCCCAAGAAGCCTGTTTAGTTTGGCCTAGAGGATACTCGAAGAGCACGTGGGAACACTGGCACCTCCACCCCCAACCCAGAGCAGGTTCCTCAGGAGTTCCAGTCCAGCTCCTATTGCTTGTCAAGATATTTTAGGAGCCTGAACATGGTGGGATCAGGTGGCAAATGAGGGAAATGGTCCTGCCAAGTAGAAGTGCCCTCTCCTTCATCCCTGTAATGTGAGCTTCTGGGTCTGCCCCACTTGATCCCTCCTTCAACAGACTGTAGGCTGGGCACCTACTCTGTCCCCCTCTTCCCCACAGTGGTTTGAGCCATCTCAGTTTGGCACTTGGTGGGCCATTCTGTCAACCAGCATGAATCTGGCTGGAGGGCTGGGCCCTATCCTGGCAACCATCCTCGCACAGAGTTATAGCTGGCGCAGCACGCTGGCCCTTTCTGGAGCGCTGTGTGTGGTTGTCTCCTTCCTCTGTCTCCTGCTCATCCACAATGAACCTGCTGATGTTGGACTCCGAAACCTGGACCCCACCCCCGCCAAGGGCAAAAAGGGTGAGTACCCACCCAAGCCGACCACTTGGCAGCTTTCATCATTCATTTGGCAGGCTTTCATTGAGGACTGGTTATATGCCTGGCCCCTTGCTAGCCAACGGATGTAGGGGGATGGATGGTAATGAAGAGTGGGTGGGGAGTAGATAAAACTCCATCCCAAGAGGCAGTTAAGTACCAGATAAATGGCAGCGCCAACAAATGCTATGATTTATGTTATATCCTGGTCCTTCCTCACAACAGAGCCAGACTTCCCTGTCCTGGACAGCATCCTAAGCTTAAGTGGCTTGGGTGCCTTTCTCCATCTGCCCTGGTCCTCAGTATCTCTTTCATTTCTTGAGTCTTGCAGTAGAGGGGAGAGGGCAGAGCAGTGGGTGACCAGGTATCTTCCTGCTGATCCCTGGCTATGTGATGGACTCTGCTCCTGTGGCTGGTTAATGAGTGGTGGGGGCTCAGTGGAGGTAGGGCAGTAGAAGCAGAGCCTGAGGCATGGCCTCCTCTCACCCCAGGCTCCTTGAAGGAGGAGAGTACCTTACAGGAGCTGCTGCTGTCCCCCTACCTGTGGGTGCTCTCCACTGGCTACCTTGTGGTGTTTGGAGTCAAGACCTGCTGTACTGACTGGGGCCAGTTCTTCCTTATCCAGGAGAAAGGACAGTCAGCCCTCGTGGGTAAGATTAGTGTTGGGACAGGGGTGGGCATAGGGAGCAGAAACTAATGCAGGGGATTGGAAATTCAGGCTCGGCTTCCCTTTATCCCCTTCCTTCTTTCCCCAAGGCTGGGCACTACTCAGGCAGCTGTGGCCAGTCACCCTTGGGGACCCTTTACCTCTCTGGGTCTAAGCCAATCTGGGATAATCCCAATGTGTAACATCCTTCCACCCTTCCTTTCCCTCTTCCTACAACTCCCACTGCAGGTAGCTCCTACATGAGTGCCCTGGAGGTTGGGGGCCTTGTTGGCAGCATCGCAGCTGGCTATCTGTCAGACAGGGCCATGGCAAAGGTGAGTGGGCAGGGGGGACAGGAAGGAGGAGGATATTTTCAAATCTTCCCAGCATGACTAGGACAGGCACCAGAGAAGTAGGAGTTGTAGGGCACAGGCAGGTTGGCATATGCTTCTTTAGGCTGGGTAAGGTGGGAATGGGTCCGGGCTACTTTTCTTCACTAGGGATGTAGAGGCAAGTCTCTTGGGGAAGGGGTTTTAACTGATGTCAAGGAGAGCCAGAATTTCTCTCAGCCTAGCAGTGGGCTTCTCCACAGCCCCAGGAAAACGGGTTGGGAAGGGACTGGGTGCAGCTTGCCAGCACGTGTCCCAGGCCTGCCCCAAGTGGAGGAAGGGATATTGTGGAGTTTGGCCTCAGAACATGAACAGGTCCCAGGGCCTCCCAGAGCTTACTGGGCCAAGAACTGTGGTGGGATTGCCAAAGACCCGTCGGCAGAGGCCTGCTGTGTCAGAGTCCAAGGGTGGGGGTTCTCTGCTGCTCTTAGGGCCTGACATTGCAGGACTATCTCCACAGGCAGGGCTGTCCATCTATGGGAACCCTCGCCATGGCCTGTTGCTGTTCATGATGGCTGGCATGACAGTGTCAATGTACCTCTTTCGAGTAACCGTGACCAGTGACTCCCCCAAGGTAAATAAGGATGGCCCGGCGTAGGGCAGGCATAAGGATGAGAAAGCAAGGGTCACTGACTCAGTTTCCCCCCTGGCTCCAGGCTGGCCCAGGACTTTCTCTGCCTCTCAGATTTCCCTTTTCAGTCTGTTTGTATCTCAGTTCCTCTTTTGTACTTTGGTGCCCCTCGACTTTGGGCCTGGTTTTCTTCTCTTCCTTATGGTCCTCTAGGATTTTGCTTTCTGGACTCCAGCTCTTCACCCTCTCGCTGAGCTCACAGGCTTTAAGGAACATGAGGTGCCTTATCTTTATCTCTGGTTTCTCTCACCTTTGTCCTACTCACTCTGCCTTGGCCCTTGCTAATCCAGCTTGCATATATTCTGAGAAGAGACAGCATCTAACTTGGAGGGATGGCTTCTGTACCTCCTTCACCTACCCACACAGGCCCCTGGGTTGGCTCAGTGTGGCACCCACTCCTCCAGCTCTGCGCTGTCAATTGTATTCGGAAGTGGGATGAGGGAGGTCACTGTCTCCTTACAATTAGTTCCTGGGAATCAAACATTCCTCTCTCTGGCAGGTGTCGATAGGTAGGCTTTCTCAGACACTAAATGCTACCCTGCACTGCTCTTGCAGCTCTGGATCCTGTTGTTGGGAACTGTGTTTGGCTTCTCCTCTTATGGTCCCATCGCCTTGTTCGGAGTTATAGCCAACGAGAGCGCCCCTCCCAACTTGTGTGGCACTTCCCATGCCATTGTGGGACTCATGGCCAATGGTAAGTGGTATCCTCTAGAATCTCTACCTCACCTCCACATAGGACAGGTAGAGGCTGGGGAAGGCCCCACTGGCTCTAGCTTCACAAATGACTTGGGCTCTTCCCCTCCTTCCTGGCAGTGGGCGGCTTTCTGGCTGGGTTGCCCTTCAGCACCATTGCCAAGCACTACAGCTGGAGCACAGCCTTCTGGGTGGCTGAAGTGATCTGTGCAGCCAGTACAGCTGTCTTCTTTCTCCTACGAAACATCCGCACCAAGATGGGCCGAGTGCCCAAGAAGGCTGAGTGAAGAAAGTGCAGGTTCCAGAGCATCCTCTCACCTGTGACCTTTCACCTGCACAGGGTGAGAAGAAGAGGGACGGGGCTAAGCTGGCTAGCACTGAACCTGACTTCCTTTTTCTGTTCCTTGTCCCTAGTCCTGGTGGTGCTGGAATTTATTAGTGGTTAATGAGGTCCCAGCTCCCCATCCTACGCTCTATTTAAAAGACAACCTTTGCTCTTAGATTCCATTAGCTCCTATTTTCTGCCTACAAACAGGAAATCCCTGCAGTCAAGGAGTCTCCTATACCCTTCTCTCCTGGGCCCTGCCCCCATCCCACACCATCCCCACCTGAGGTGAGGTCCTCCTGCAGCTGCAGGACACCAATGACCCCTGCCTTCTGTCCTAAGGCCTTTCAGCAGGGGGCAACTGCTGCCAATACCTCAAGGCTCCAGGGGAAGAGAGGAGGCCAACATTCTTACCATTACCCTGGGTACAATAGGGGGGTATGGGTGGGAGAGTGGGAAGACTTGTTACAGATTAAAACTAGATTTGATACTCAACACTGTCAGTGAGTCATTTTTTCAAAAGGGGTAATATCAGGCAGAAACAGATTTCTTTGGAAAATACTTTTTCCGTGCCTGATCTTTCCACCCCCAAAGTGAGAAACTTCATTTCCCTGGAATGGGAAGCTGATGTGGACTCCTTTAAGTTCACTGTCTCCTCTGCCTTCAACTTAACACTGTGTAATTCAATGATCATTTCAGAGATGAAGTTTTTGGATTTCAGGCAGATTAAATAACTTGATGAAGGGAGGCAGTGTAACAGTGGTTGATAGTGTAGTAAAAAACGCTGGGGGCCGGCCGAGTGGCGCATTGGTTAAGAACTGGCTTGGGATGCCAGAGGGCCCCGGTTCGGATCCCACATAAGAGGGCCAGTGACACTGCCCTCTACAGCTAAGATGCTGAACAACAGCCTGACCTGGAGCTGGGCTGCCGTGGAT